AAAAGAAAGAGTCGTCACTGCCACTCTGTGAGTTCCCCTTATGTTTCATAATATAAACAGCCCAATTTACAAGTCTAACAGGGCGTCTGCAAAACAACTCGCTGCCTGGCGCATTGAGTCGGCATGAATGGTCATTGAGTGTTCTTCTCGTTCTTCTCATTCCATGTTGGGCCTCAACACAGAGGAAGTAGCTGGGCTCCGGTGTCCTGCCACGGAAGGAAGTAGCCCCATCCCTTCCTCCGTTTTCTTCGGGCTTTCCTCTCCCAGGGCCGACCAGTACGACAAGTTCGAATGCTACTGCCAGGAGCTCAAACCGGTGTGGACCGGCAAGGCATCGGTGAAGACGAGAAGGATGTGTGAAAAAAACGGTCAAAGCAGGGAGGTTTACCTAGAGAACTCATGTCAGTGAGTAATTCAAGAGAGATGGAGTACTCAAAAGCCAATGCAGTTACACTACAGTAAACTACAGTACAGTATGTTACTTTTCCTTGGACTCAGGGCAAGGTTTCAGTTGACAGCTAAGCTAATGTCCACTTGGTGGCTGATCATTGCAAAAAAGATCATCACACAGTATGAACCATCAGCCACGAGAACGAAGAGAACAAAGACATACAGAATTCCGGGAAAGGAAAAAGGCCAGCCGATCATTGTTCATGTGGCATGTTAGTGTGAGGTGCCCTATTTGTGAAACAGTCCTGGGAGCGGGCCATGTTAGTGTGGACACACTGAGTTTGGCAGGTGCATGGAACACGGTGAGACTAACATGGATCATTTCCAGATACTGGATTCCCTGGATCTTGGCTACTTCTGACGTATTCCATGTTAGCATGCTGCATTTCTAGTGCACCAATCTTCATTCCGGCCTTGTAGTGTTCTACGTTAGTCTCCGGAATCACCTTTTCCTCTCATACCGGTGCTTTCCATAATCCCCGGGACTTCTAACGAGCAGGTGGGCCATGTTAATGAGCATTGAGAGTTGGAGCCACGTTCAATGACAAACTTCGCCGGAGTAACTGTAACCCGTGGAGCCACATGTAAGGCTATCTATACCCCTCAAGCTCTTGCACAGAGTTTCTGACAACCAATAGAGCAAATAAGAAACTACCTGGTTCTTCCAAGCGACCGAACTTGATCTCCCAGTTTGAGGTCTTTTGGGCCTTTCTATTAGGGTCGCTTCGGGACCCTCAAGCTCGATCACGAAGCTGGCAAGAAGCTGGTAGATGAGACTCCAATGTTTCGATCGCCGAGGCAAGAAGACCATAGCCGAGTTGGATGAGAACATCCGTCAAGCAGAGACGAACCCGGTGTCTCAGGTGGGTAGTGGGCAGATATGGGTAGTGATGGAACACCTGGAAATGTCATAGATGCTGGATCAAACAACCACACTCTCTCTCTCTCTCTGTTGATGCTCTGAAGAGAAGGGGATATATGATGTTATATGATACTAGCGTCAACCCATTATACAATCAAGGACCAATCTTTCAGCATGCTTTCTTCTTTTGTGACAGACACTGGAGCGTGAGACATGTATCATGAAGCCACACTAGCGTTTCGTACACAGGGATACACACGGCGCACGCAGTCATGTTGGTTGGTACCTTCCACGGCAAACCATGATTGAACCCGCAGAATCCATGATGGCACTTTCCACCGATGACCTGACACTGGCACGGGACCATGACCTTCGAGATGTTCGAAGCAAACCATCAAAAACAGGTGCGTCTGTGGGGGTTTATAGAAGCCAAGCCAAGCCGCGGTGGTCGATCTCCTGGAGCGTGAACGCGTCCACCTGGTTCTGCGTATCGTCTCGAGGCCGACATCGATAAGAAGAAATCCGAGATCGCTGGGTTGCAGCAAGAGTTGAAGACTTTGAAGGTGAACGTGCGCGAACGCGCGAACGGGTCAGAGGGTCCGGAGGGTCGGGGATGTCGGACACAGAAGGACGTCCGAGAAGCTGAGCTGCCTCAGCTTGAGACTGAGATGACAGGGAAGAACAAATGGCGATGCTGATGTTTGCATGCTTTAGGGTGTGATCATTTGCTAAGGGCTGCTGGTTGGCCGTTTGCTGGTCTGGTATGCAGGGGGGGGGAGAAGTGCCAACAGCCTGTTCTTCACCTGTAATGGAGGCTGCGAAAACCTCCGGGCCTCCGGGTAGAGTTTACTTTGTCGTGGTGGGGAGGGGGTCTCTTACCGTACGTGGTACAATGATCCCTTCATGGGTGGCTTCATGGTTCATTGATAGGTATCACTGCTTGCAACTCTACATACCGCCCCGGTCGAAGATGGCATATGCTCGGAAGTGGAACCATCATGAACCATCATTGTTTGTGAAGGAAGAAATGCCGCATGCCACAACATCCACTTAGTGATCATGCTGTCTTTGGAGTGACATGCATACCACACCTAATTGCCACTCTCTGATGGAATCGTTTGTCCCACCCAACGGGGTCTCCCTCTCACCAGTTGAGACGCCCATTCCCGGTCCACCGGTCTTCTTCCGCAGGAGGACCGCATCGCAGAGGAAGAGACTCTGAAGTCCGCGGAGATGCAGCGCGGGAAGGCCGGAGGTTTTTCCATCGTGGCCGATGAGACGGACGCACTGGGGTTGGCAAGATGATGGGGTACCGGGTGAGCTTTCAATAGAGACTCTGAATCCTTGATATGTTTGAACATGGTTTGAAGAATCCTTTCCACATAAGGTGAAAGAGAGAAACTGGTCTGTAACGACCGGTCAGGGAAGGAGACAAATCCTTCGTGCTTCAGTCCTTGCCAGGAACATGAATCCTTCGTGAAGGAGGTCACTGAAGAAGAGGAGGTTCGCTGAAAGCGTCAACATGTCGTACTGATGTGACTTATGTGTCTGTACTCAGACTCTTCAGTCTTCCCAAGTGGTGGTTTGTTCTATCTAGTGACGCAAAACAGTCTTGGGCATGTGAGCCAGGAGCTCTGAGGAAGGTATACGTGTCTCTATCCATGAGATGATGAGTTAAGAAAAGATCACCTCCCATCCATGTGCTTTTCTCCATTCACGAAGTTCCAGAGAATGTAGGCAGGCACCCAAAGGAGCACAGCTTTTTTTCCATGTCTTCTTCGACTCCTCAAGATTTGTGCGACGAAAACCGCTTTGAAGAGTTCAAGGAGGACCAAGGAGGATCATTTTGTGAAACTGAACAGCTGTGCTGCGCATGGCTGGAGGTTGGAGGTTGGAGAAGTTCAAAACATGTGGAACAAAGCTATGTCTGTTTTTGAGGGGCCCATGATGGCGGCCCATTTTCCACTTCTACGCTTGTGACGGGGAAGGTAGACAGGCTTTTCCCACCGAACACACATATCAGTTTTCCTTTAACGGAGCCAGTGAGAAGGGATGGCCGATGGCAGCAGGTCGTCCAAGGCATTGATGCCGCGACCACGGTGTGGGGCCCCGCGGGAATTTGATTGATACAGTAGCGATGGCCTCCTTCCGACTAGCGATGGCCTCCACCCTAGGTGCGCAGCTTTTCCAATGACGCTCATGAATCATTCGTGGTACACGTCGACAGATCGAAGCTGTCTCTATAGCTCCCTAGGTGTTTTTGGTTTCGATTCCTCCAATCTAGATGGAAGGACCACACAGCAGCTGCACGGCAGATGTTGAGTTAAACATGAGTTAACCAGGTCGGGTCTTACGGGCTTCGCACCCGGAGCCTGACTGCGGTGGGGACGTATGTGCTCGCCCGCGGCCAACGGGGGCTTTCAATTCGGTCACAAGCAATTCGCGGAGCTTTTTGTGGGTCGTTCGTTGCCGGTCGGTGCTTCCACGGTCGGTGCTTAGGCCCTCAAGGGCGGGGAACCCACGGCCTTCTTGCAACAGACCAATAAGGCGGGGAGAGCGAGAAGCTGCTGGCGAAGCGAAGGGGAGAACGCTGACAAAGATGAAGATGATCTATAGACACCTACCATGTATGGAACAACTGGAAGATATGCCGATCAGTTGGTGTGGTTTGGGGGATTTATACCATATTAAGCCCTATAGATACATGGAGTGTCTGGGTTATGTACACTCCGACGCACACATCACGTGGAAGTGGAAACCACATGAAACATCATGAAACCACCCTGTTGGCTTCAAGATGCTTCAAGGAACGCCGTCGTTCTGGGTTTGGAATGGGTGCACTTGTCACATTTTTGCACAATCGGACAACATTGGTGGGAGCGGGATACAATCCACTTTGAAACATCCAGCCCCTGAAATTCCTGGCCTGCCAAAGGAATCAATTCATCAATTCGCTCCCCCCCACAAATCTTTAGATCTTAATGTGTTGTCAGCAATCCGAGTTCCTACAATCATCGAACTCGTTTACCAATCATCTCTAAGCCTCAAGGCTGTTTGGGCTGTTTGGCAGGTCCGGAGTCTGGGTTAGGCCATGGGGAGGCAGACGCGTTCGAATGGGACATCCGCAGCGCTGAGGTAGGTCGAGTCAGGGGCGCCGGGTCGATTGGCACATCGATGGACACCCCACCCCCGGGTGCCCAGGTCGGTGCGACGGTGCGTCGCCAAACCGAAACGAAAACCCCCACACCTTCGAAGCCGAAGCCGAAGCTCCGTTGCCCACCGGACTCTTGGCCGAATGGCCCGCAGAATTTTGCTCGCGTGGTCTCGTGCGTGGTCCGGTTCGGGAGAAAGATTGGGCGGGCCGGAGCATGACCACATGCCACATGCCGTAGCGTAGTGAGAGGAATGCGGGTTCAGCGGGCAGTGTTCCCAACATCTTAATGGTTGGTAGGATGAAAAAGTCGAACACTTCATGCAAGAGTTTCATACACGTTCCCCTATTTCGCCGGACGTTGTGACACTCAGGTGTCGCGCGTCGCACACGCAGTGGAAGCAGTGGAGCCCTTGGTGGAAACGCACGAGCGGCAGTGGGAGCGGCATGTTCGAAGAACACTTAGGATCAATATGGCAGGGGCCACGGTAGTGGGCGCCGCACTGACGCCCCTTAGGGAGCCGCTGCCACTTAAGGGCCCACGGCAGTCGGCCAGGATCAATATGACCTACGGGTTATAGCGTAGACCTCCAATTGACTTGATCTACCAACCTGTACGGGATCGATTGACTTGACTTAACCAAAACAACTGGACACACACACACACAACAAATAGCTGGGGCATGCTCGGTCCAACAGGTAATCGAAGTAACCAACAGAGGTTAAGTGACCATATAGGACCCTGGGGTACCTATGGAATAGTCCATAGTCTTCTTCAACCTTTGTTGGAATAACAGTTGTCGTGATGATCGTGATGTTTCAAATCTTAGTTAAGCGGCAAGGTCTCAGTTTCTTGGGTGCTGACCACCAAAAAACGACTCGCCCCCATGCGGAGTGGGGATTTGCGGAAGCTTAGCTGCCCGCGATCTGCAGCTTCTGCGGCTCAAGATTCCAAAGAAGAATGGGAGGCCTTTTATCCAGTGGAAGCAGTGGAACTTGGAAGGACTTCTCGACGGGTCGTGGGGCAGGACCTGTCGTTGGGGGGGTGGTTCTGTGAACGATGTGAATCGAGGATGGCGGACTTGCGGGGCCAAGTATGCTGGCCCAAGTGGAGTTACCAAGTGAGAGCACCTGTTGGAATGACCCAGTTCCGACGCCAATTTTACTGACAGAATCCACGGGCGTGGCAAACCGACATGGCCCCCGAAGAATCGGATGACCTTTGAAATCCAAGAAGCGTGAACTATGGCTTGACCAGATATGTATGCAATAAGATAATGACTTTAGCTAACATCGGTTTCCCCTCGCCGACTTCCTCCCAAGTGTATATATAAATCGATAAGTTCTTGAGATCCCTTCGCCCGGAGCGCCATCTCGAGCTTCTCCCTCACTCTAACTCGCCAAACCATGTGGGGCACCAGAAATAGACAAATTATAACACATTATAATATATATATATGTATATATATATAGCTGAGACCAAACTTTTCTACCAAGACACGTTTCTCCATCAACAGAACAGGTTCATCAAAGGGGAACATTGCGGCAAAAGGTCGTGGAGAACCTTATGCGGTTTTGTGCAATCCCGCAATCCAGGTTCTTAAACTACACTGGAAAAATACGACTCAGAAGGCCCCTAATGGAAGAGATGTGCATGCTGGTTCCTGTAGAATGGTCGGGTGCGAAGCCGCTTGCAGGTGAGGTTCCGCTCCTCCAGCCACCATCTCAGTTCCTCCAGCCCCATCGGACCGACAGCCGGATCTCTGGAGGACGACGGCTCTGAGGCTGTCCAAGATGGTCAGGATGGCAGTTTCCATGTGAGTGGCAAAGCGAAGGCGCGCCACGGCGTGAGCGGAGAGGGTCAGCTTGACCGTTTCCCACCGGTTCCGTTGGGCAGCCAGCACGTGGGCGGAGCGTTCGGGCTGGAAAGCGATGCAAGGCACTCGATGAAACACAGGTCCGGGACCACACCAACCCCATGAACGACACTTCCGGAGCGAGTCTGGTCCATTTATACTACTTATAGGTCCAGATGACTGAAGGAATTGGCGGATACACTATGCCAAAATTTCCAGTTCCTTGCTCATCATGAAACACATGATACGATGTCGCACATCCATACAACTCCCTGCTGGAACCTTGTGTATGACCTTTCATCCCTTCACGTTGAACATTTCCGGCTGCAATTGGTATAGACCGGCCTTTTGATGGTTTAACTATATGGTTTAACTATGGTAACCATATAACCCACATTGCAAATCCATCCGATGGTTTAACTATATATGGTTTAACTATAGTTTATCTATGCCGTTAATCCATCCGATGGATTTCTTTCATCACCCACATTCGTGGATCCCAGGGCGATGCTCCGGTGTGTGCTCTCTACAGCGAGGCCATCTCGTCAGGCCTGTCACCGCTCAAGGAACATCGTGGGGGCTGAAGCGGCTTGCGGCTTGAGATAGATCCGATCCTTTTCCAGTATTATATAGGAGACTTGTATAGATATCTAACACGAGAAGATCTCCAGGAGTTATCAGATACCTGTAGATACTAGAGTGACGCTTTTCTCTTTTCTGCAGGTCACCTTGGTTCACTGTTGAGTTGATTCTGTGCCGCTCTGACTCTGGGAGGTGAATATTTTGAAGTCACCTGCGAGCAGCTGAAGGAAAGTGCTTTCATTGGCATCAGCCACTGGCCGCCAGTTTGGGCAGGGTGGCTTTTCGCACGGCAATGGAACATCAATTAACTGGGAGAAAACACCAGACAAACAATCGATTATGTAACTGACTAGTAACTGTGTATGCACAATTGGAAGGACACTGGTACTTACTTTTCCCTTGAACCAGGCTTTGGGAATCCTTCTGGCTGCATTAGATTCTAAAATACGACGAGGAATCCGTGTGTGTGCGTGTGTGCGCGCGTGCCAAGAATCAAAGCCAAGAAGTAGACATGATTTGCTGTGGTTTCCTTCCCCAGTGGGAGCCCTCTTTTGTGAATCCCTGCGGGCCTCGGCGCGTATCGCGAACCGGCGAACGGCGAACCTTGGAAAGGAGTTGCTGAGTAGCCAAGTGTTTGGACATAAACTTGAGCATGGATGGCATGGCATGGCTTTGAATCGTGTCAAGTGTCCTTCTCAGCCTGTGATTCCAGCAAGGAAGGGGGAACCTTCGCAGGTTCATGTACGCTCCCTGAAATCATGGCTACATGGATGGCATGGCCTCTCGGATGATGACCGTGAAATCCGAAGACCAAGCAGGTGGTGCCATCCACTTCCATGAATTCTAAGATATTTCAAGGAATGTAGCACGTGCAGGGTGTGAAGGCTGCAGAACGCACGTGTGACTCGAGTTGTGGCAAGCAGTACGAGACGTCGTACCATGCAGAAGAAGCAGCACTGCTTTGTCGTGTGGCTGGTGCTGACTCGGGTCTCAAGGACGGACCGGGAGGTGGACGGTCCGGTGGACCCAACAGAGATGTGTAGATCAGAAGATGCCCAGGAACTCAGACCACTCGTCCCAAGAGAGGTTGAGAGACCTGAACTAGGACCCTGGTCTGTGGTATATATGGGATGGGCGACAAAGGGCTGTTCAACCTCTCTTGGTCCCCTTCCCTTTCGAGCAACATCGAATTTCTGGATGGCCCACTACACTTCTGTGAGGCACAGAAGCGGCCTTCGCCAAGGGCTACAAATGCATCTTGGCCTGGTTTCCGGATGAACGCTGGCCAGCAGGAAGCAAATACATGATGCAAATTGGCTGCCAACCTTTCCCGAACCTGTCTTCTTTGACAGACTTCACATGCCAGCCGAAACCATGGGTTTTGTTTGCAAAGTACGTAGTTCTAGTAGGTCTTCTACTCTTCCAGGGAGGTGTGCTCACAGTCAACAACCCCAGATGCATCCCCTGAACCAGAACCGCCCACATACTTTTAGACTCCCGGCACAAGAAGGTGCTCCGCCACACCATACGAATAACCCAACCCAAGAGTAACCATCCAACCCAAGCAATCTTTCAGGGTCTCCTCCGTGTCTCCCTCAGCCGCGTCTTGCCGAGCCTTCCACCTTCTTCACATCAGGCCGCGGGCTGTTCTTCGGCGGTCCCGGGAACCTGGCGAACGGCGGCGGCCTGCTGCGGGGCAACTTCGGCGACGGCCGCGTGGCACAGCCGCGGAACGGCCGCGAGAGCTCGGTTCCGAGCAGCCAAACGAAGCCCATTTGGTCCGGGATGTGTTGGGTGGGTACTTCCAGCGGTTGACTTCGGACATCTTAAACTTGGAAGCAACCTCCAAGTGCTCACATCCTTCCAGTTGCGAAGGTGCCGTTGGATTCCCTCTTTGTGAATTTCAGTTGGCCGCTGTTGGCTCGTCCTATTATGTCCTACCAGTATATAGGTTACTACCGTCTGTTTCACTTATCCTTGGATGGTCCGTCGGTCAGGCCACGTTTGCTTGAGTGTTTGGCAACCGCCCATTGGCCAAACTCAGGATGCTGTTACAGGGAGAGTTCAAGATCTCTACAAACAGATACTCACAAAGCCTCTTTTGATATTGAATACCTCTGGGGGCTCCAGCTTCGCGTGGCCACTCGGCTGAAGCTCCGACTCCGAACGAAGGGGTCCACGCGACATTGAACAGCACCGTGAGTTGGACAAGGTCTTCAGACCGGCAGTGTGGTGGGCTTCCTGAGCGACATCGAGAGCTCCACGGTGCGCGGTGGGACAGACGAGTGACCGGAGTGACCGAACAACAAAAACCCGGTCGCCGAAGGCAAGGAATCTCCGCAGGGCGTCCGGGCTTTTCATTCGGTTTTGGATGGTTTTGGTGTTATTTCATATTTCTTTAAACATCAGGTTCATACCGATTCATAACTGGTTCATAGAGTTTGGGTGTGGCTTGATCTGCTGGGTGGGGATGCTGGTGGTGTTGCGGCGCGAGAGAGTGTGCCGGATCTTCAAATGGGTGTGTATAGTGTTTGAATAGGGAGACCCCTTGCAGGACGACCTACTGTAGAAGGGAAATAGACCAAAACCTCCCTAGCATAGTCCAATGTTTAGCTGATTGGTCGCGTCGAACGCGTGTCACGTGGCGGTGAGTGAGAGATGTCTCAAACATACCGTGACAGCCGTGACATTTGATCTTCCACACATTTTCACACCTCAGGGAGACACCTTCTTCGGCAGCCTGTCGCACGAGTATACCAGTACCAGTACATGACTATTTGATACCATTTGCTTCAATATCCACGTCACTGAGTACTTTCTCAGCGCTAAACGCATGTGGATGTCACGCCAGGTGAAAGTCACCGTCTATCAAGGCGGCCGGTGTTTGGGCCAGGCCTTCGAATCGCCCCTTCAGGAGAGGGGCTGAGTCGGCAAAGAGCGGAGATGGCCCAACCAATCGACCCATG